GGGGGGCGGGGAGCAGAAATATCTCAGAAAACAAAAAAGAATGGATGGACGACCGCTGGCATGCACGACCGGTATGATTTACGGAGTGAAACGTTGCAGAGCTAGGAATGCACCGGAGGGGACAGAGTAAAAACAAAAAAACAAAAAAAGAAAGGGAGAGATGTGAGACCGACAAGAAGACGCAGGAAACGACAACAAGAAAACGCTGGAACGACGACATGAAAGATTGCTCAGATGATTACAATTAGCATGGTCCCTCCCGCCCGTTCAAAAAAAGAGCATTCGCATAGTCTGATGATTACAATTAGCATGCGCCCCCCCTTAAAAAAAAAAAAAAAAAAAGCATTAGCATGGCCCCTGCGCATCCAGGATGACACACAGGAGTGCGAGAAACAGAATATGAAACGAGGCAAAGTGCTGCCGAGAGGCCGAAACAGGCGGAGAGAGATGGAAAAAGGTACAAATGAGGAGATGCGGAAAAAAGTGGAGAGAGAGAGAGAGAGAGAGGAAAAGAGGGAGAGCGATGGAGAGATGCAGGGAGGCGTGCAAAGAGATGGAACGGCGATGGAAGAGTGAGAAGAGGGACAAAGACGATGAGGGAGTTAGAAAATAAGAGAGAGAGAGAGAAGGGCAGGGACGATAGGAGAGAGAAATGGTTCGAAAACTGTGAATGAAGCACGAGCTTGACGTGAGAAAGGACGTCGAGAATCTCAGGAATCAACCTAACGTAAGGAATAGAATAATAATTAAAAAAAAAAAAAAAAGAGTGTATGCCAACCAGCTGGCGTCTTACGAACGACTGGGACATACACTCCCTCGCACTCCCAAGCCGATCTGGCTTTACAGTCTCTCCTTCACGACATCAATTGCCAGAACTTGCCCTCAGGCTCCCAAGCCATGCACCAGCCTTCCGCGCTCCTTATCGATACGCCAATCTGGTCGAAAGAACCCCACCGCTTCCCTGCCCAATACCCACCGGAATGCACAAGGTTCCTCCCTCCTCTGAAGCGACATCATCAACCATTACCCACTCTAACACCCAATAGCCATGGAATTAACAAGGCAAGACAAGGAGAGAAAACCAACAAGAAAGACACAGAGAGAAGAGACCGAGTGACGGAATAGATAACAAGGCAAGACAGAGACGAACAGAGAGACAGAGAGAAACAGAGAGAGACAGAGAGAGACAGAGAGAGACAGAGAGAGACAGAGAGAGACAGAGACAGAGAGAGACGGAGAGAGACAGAGAGAGACAGAGAGAGACAGAGAGACAGAGAGAGACAGAGACACAGAGACACAGAGAGACAGAGAGACAGAGAGACAGAGAGAGACAGAGAGACAGAGGGAGAGACAAAGAGAGAGAAAGAGAGACAGCGAGAGACAGAGAGACACAGAAAAGCAGAGAGACAGAGAGAGAGACAAAGAGAGAGAGAAAGAGAGACAGCGAGAGACAGAGAGACACAGAAAAGCAGAGAGACAGACAGACAGAGAGACACAGAGAGACAGAGAGACGGAGAGACACGGCGAGACACGGAGAGACCGAGAGAGAGCCAGAGAGAGAGAGAGAGAGAGAACGACGCCTAACGACATCAGGGCGTACATTTTCTACTAACTTCGTCATCGTTGACAAAATCTGCCGCAATACTACCGAGCCTCATCGGCTATCCACAGAGTGAAGAGTAGGTGGCCACGTCTTATCTTAAAAGCTGGCCGAGCCACGCAAAGCAACAGGGTCAGGCAAGAATGCACCGTCGAAAGGAGTGACACGGTGGTGGCGAACATTACCAGGGGCCCAACAAGTTCATCCGGCGTTTCTAGCTTATAGGAAACAATGAGGGAGAAGAAGGCATGAAAATGAACCATCTTGCATGCTGATCGACAGAAAGAGAACTCAGAGCAGCATTGTTGACAGTCAATCCTGGAATCTTCGACACCTGGCGGGGAAAACGGGCCACACTAACGGTGTAGGTGTTGAATAACCGATAGGGAAAACTGAGATCTTTCTTTCTCCCTGTAATAGCATGCCCCCTGCCTGCAGATGCGTCGCGTTGCCGTCGCATATAGCACGTTATAACAAGCGCACCTCACTTAAAACCCCGTCTGTTCAAGTTCGCTTCCAGATCTCACTGGTCTCTCTCCCTCCCTCCCTCCCTCTCTCTCTCTCTCTCTCCTCTCTCTCTCTCTCTCTCTCTCTCTCTCTCTCTCTCTCTCTCTCTCTCTCTCTCTCTCTCTCTCTCTCTCTCT